CCACCTTTTTCTCCATCCACCCCATTACGGAGGGATGCGCTTCAGGTCCAAGTAATGGCACAGACGTATGGGATTTTAAACCGTATCACTATAATATGTAGAGAACTATTCATCTGGATTTTAGTGGAAAGGTACCCGATACTCCGAAATCTTTATACCAAGCTTATACTTTTTTGGTCGAATCGAATCGGACCCTACTCGAACCAAATCGGACACTTTTCAAACCAAATTGGACTCTTTTCAAACCAAATCTGAATCGAAAAATCGGACAGAAAATCGGCTGACAGTTTGCGCCCAAGCGTCTGTCTGTAATGTGCCTTTGGGAGCAGAAATGTGAGTTGGAAGCTTCGCAATACCAATCCTGGTACAGGACTCATCAAATCTGTGGGAAACTTTCACCGCTATGAAAAGGTTTACAATGAGTTGAAATGCTTACGCAGTTCGCAAAATGTTCCGGTGTAGTCGATAAGGCACTGGCAGACTCCATTCTTGACATAGCCAAAGTTCTGGCAAATTGGCGTTTCACATCTGTAAAACCAGTAACTCTTTATCACCTCATCTACCCATAACTGTTCTGTTTGAATTCTGACATTTGGGACATAAGATTCTAGCAATTGTTAATTCTTCCTAGTACCCTTGGATTTCTCTCCAACCTTCCGATATGACTTCGGAACCGCTGAAAACAATGAGGCGCATGGTGGAGTAGAGCGTGTACGAAAACTCTAAACTATTTCAATCCTCCGAAAACGACGATTGAGTGAAAACGTTAGACCATTTCTAAAAGAGTCCCCCCTATTCCCTCGAAATGCACTTGTTCGAGTTAAATTCTAGATTCCCCAGAACCCTCTAGATATTTTGTATCAAGGTGTACTGAGAGGACTTAGAAATGCATTTGAAATAATTCTCGTTCTTGGAATTTTCTACAGTTACGACGCAGAACATTAGGCCTAACCGTAGCCAGATTCATATCACCTTGCTTTATGTATCCCCTGGACCACAAAGCTAGTGCCGTGTCTGGAAATTTCGCACATTTCGTTTGGTTTGGGGATGATCTCCTATTTTACCGCTCTGCACTAGTTTGAGAAGTTCTAGAATAAATCTATTAGGTTGATGCATATGTTTTTCCCCGTGTTTGATCCTTCCGTATTTCGTTTGCATGGATGTTGGTATTTCGTCATCACGTGTGCGTGACGTGTACATTATACTCTTTTATCACACTAGCTATCACTCACCCACCT